CAGCTGCAGAGCACATTGTAGAAAATTTGTGTGCAGACTCCGCAAGCCAGCCACCAAGGCCGCATGCACCTGGCCATGACAAACGTACGCAAAAGCCAAACCACCATGGGGAGGAGACATCGCGGTACACAGCACCGAAAACACCCAAGAGTGCACCTGGACTCGTAGGACGACCCCGCATGACGGTGTACTGCATTGGAAATGTTCACCCAGACTGCGATGTGGATTCAAAAGTTGAACACTGCAAGGCACAAGGTGTATCTGTAGTACAAAGTGTCGTGTACACCTCCGTGCACTTTAGAACAGCCTCTGCTCGTATTACAGTCTTGGTCACGGACGCCAAGAAGGTCGCGGAAGAATCGTTCTGGCCTGACGAAGTTGGCCGTATTGTAAGAGAGTGGCGATTTGGTACAGAGGCCTGGGTTCCCAAACCCGTTAAAGCATAATGGCTCAAACCACCGACCCACTCCCCTTGAACCCGCATGCTCAACACACCCATCGGATCAGCATGAAGCTTAATCCACACGCCGCCCCGTTTCACCCACACACCCATCACCTGGACCAGCATAGTAGTACACTTAACATTCGCCACATCAAAATAGTATAATTATTACGCAGTCTACGCCACAAACTGTGTGAAGTTGAAAGTATAATGATAGAACAGCAGCTGGATATACTAGCCGTATCCAAGACCTGGCTAGATAACAGTGTTTCTGATCTGGAAGTGCATATCCGTAGTCAGCTGAAAGTATTTGAGGCTGTTTGTATTCGTTTGCTTAAGCCTGATTTTTGTAAGCAGAAAAAAACGTGTAGTTGCGTTAAGATTGTTTTCGTAGGTGCACAGCATAATTGTTTGCCTCACTACACAGTTTTAGCGTTATAATATATTAGTTTCGCACCCGCCGTTGCACTTGGCTCTCACTTCACTTCTATTGTCTCACCCTCCCTCATTCTATTTTAGCACTTTATTTTGTTCTCGTAACACATTATTGAATGTATTTTTAATCATTGTTCAGCATGGTTACTCTTCAGTCACGACTTTCCACTGATGAATGTGACAAGAAAATTAATTTTTGGTAAACTTTTATGCCTTCGTTGTAGTTTGGCGATGACAGCAGAATTGTTCTCTTTATTGCTATTATAAAATTGTTGTCTCCACGTCGATTATTTAAAATAAAATAAATAAAAAATAATACAAGAGGAACGGTTTAATAAATTATTTCACTCAACTCGTGGTCCATGACTAATAGACCGATCCCCTTATTATTGTCTGGGTTCGAGCAAGGGGGCAACTCCGCAGTCGCGTGGGATCCTGCTGCACACACGCGACCAACCTCACCTTGGCTGTGCCGCAGCCTGTGCGCGACTTCTCGCATGCGAAGTGCAGAGCACGCGAAATCTACATGCAGTGCAAGCCTGTCTACAAAAAATGTCACAAGGGCTTTTGATTTGAGCTGTTTTGTTTTGTTTAGACGTCTTCCTTTTTTCGACTTCAGGATGCCTTCTCAGGATCATTCCTGCGTTCCTCACTGTCAGAACAGGAGGACGAAGCAAACAAGTCATTTCACTCCTTTCCTCGTGTGGAGCCACAGCGGCCTGGAGCGAGCGGATCCAGGCTATGCCCCGTGAGGAAGGACGTAGTTTTAGGGTCACTCTGAATATTTGAGTTGCAGCGATCATTTCGATCCCGAAATCGAAATCGTTTTGCCCAGCTCTACAAGGGCAGGATGAGTCCAGGAACCCAAACAGCTGTCCTACGGTACCAGGTTTGCTTTTCGCAAGAGAGTGGAGTCTGGACGCCCTGCTCCCCATGCTCGCAAACAGTATTTGCTGAGCCTAGTGCAGTTCGGTCATGGAATTGCAGCGTCTGCATCACGAGCTCCCCATGCTCCCAAACCAGTATTTTGCTGAGAGGCAACGGTACTTTGGAGTTGGAAACGATTCTGGCTTAGTGCAGTTTGGTCCTGTAATGGAAGTGCAGCATCTGTTTCAGGAGCTGGCAGCAAGTAGAGCTCGTGTACAGAGTCTCGTGGAGCAGTAGGACGATGTGAGGACTGGGGTGAAGAAAGCCGAAAAACAGCTTACGTACAATAACGTAAAGAAAGACTCTGAGCCGCTCCAGTTTCTGACTGGTTTGCCTTCAGGTGTTTGGACCGCTCTGTGGGACTTCTTTGAGCCTAGCCGAGAAAATGTACTGCGCCGCGCCATATCTGCGAAGACGGAAGCTGAGGGACGGCAGATACAGATGGAGGTGGCCTTAAATCGCCAATGAGCATGTAATGGAGGATCAGCTGCTATTGACGTGTCTAAGCCTGGGCCGAATGGAACAGAAGCTGGCATGCGTGGCACAAGTTAATAATCCGTTTCACGGCATATAGCTAGCTGAGCTGGAAAGATGTCTTGTTCCTCCGTTTGGGCATGATCCCCATTTGGGCGAGCTGGCGAGATGTTCAGTCATCAATGCCATGTACCGCAAGACATTCTGCATTGTGGATGAAACAGTTCTATTTTGCCATGCACTTAGGGTTCTCGCACCGGCACGGCAAAACAAGACCCAACAGATCCTTGCGCTGTTATTTTCTCCCATGGTAACTTTGCTGATCACAACACCCGGTAGCAAGTCGCAGATGCAACCAAATCAACCAGGTTCTCTTACTCTTTTTTTCCAATACTGAAACCAAGGTATACCAATATTTGCATCGAATGCAGTGATGATTTCAATACTGTCCACCAGTACAACGCATTACCAGACTGGCATATAATCATGATAATATTATCCATTTCGCAATCACTGTCATTGCTTTCTTAGATCTCCAATCATCAATATCAGACCATAAACCGTCTATCATTTTATATTATATCATCATTAATATCCTGCTACTATCCTCCTCTAATGATGAGCTCGAAGAAACGAAACAGCTGTCTAGAGGCGTAAACAATATCAGATATTGTTTACTTGTTATTCTGTCAACGGAAGTGTCCTTGCTGTGCTGGTGTGTTTATGCTTCGTGCATTAGTTCGGCCAAGAGCGCATGGTGGTGGCGGGTTGAGGATGGAGTACAGCGGAGAATGACCGAGAGCTCTGTCACAATGTATTTTATTAGGAAGGTATAGAAACAGAAAACAACTATCTTGATCTTGGGCGGAAACAGCCCGTCTCACATTAAATATACTAGAAAATAGTTTACTCTGAACATGTAGTCTTCCTAAGAGAGAGAGAGAGAGAGACGGGGGGGGGGGTATATTCATAGGTTCGAAAGAACCGCACACACACTTTGCTGCAGAGAGCGGCAAGCTTTGGCCCTCGTACTTCGAAGAGGGAGCAATCCAATGCGCTACGCTTGCGATTAACAGCAAGCTTTGACCTTACAAAGGTACGACTCATCACTGGCTCTGGGGTAATGTTCCTGGAACAAATTCCCCATTGCCGACTGAGGGCCAGGGAGCACTCAATCTGCCTTCCCGGGCGAGAAGTGTTCCAGCACAAGAAGCAGCACGAATACATGCTGACAAAGACCACCATCACCACCAGCCGGCACACAGCCCATTGTTCTTCAAACACCATCCACTCCTTCCATGTGTTTGCACTGTCCTTCTCTAGCTCTTCACGCTCAACAAATACCACGCACTGCTCATCGTTTTTTTAATGCTTCCTCTGGGTTGGCAAGCCCTTAGACTTGACAAAACAGCGATCACCACTGCTATCGTCACCACATAGCAGTCGCTTCCACCAGTGGCTTTTCCTGTCTTTGCAAGGTGTCCAAGGATGGCTGCTGTTGTCACTACAGGCAAATCAGAAGTAATTTAGTGGCTGATGTCCAACCAGATCGTTGGAAAATCGATTTTTCCAGTTCAGGGCTGCTGATCGCGATCGCGACTTGGTGACTTGGCAGCACCACGGTTACCTTCATAGAAAATGGCTCTGGAGAGGAAAAGGCAGACCAGAAAAAGGTTACTATTATCTTCAGCACCGATCTCAAGGAGAAAGGAATACGGTCTGCTGTAGCCTAGGCACAACATAAGTCTCACAACACGATTCGCGGTTCGAATATTTCAACAACAAAAAACTCACCTCTGGAGTAACTACTGTTTGTGGCCCGAGATCGTTCCCTCCCGCGCCTTGAAAAAATCCTGCAGCTGCATCACAGTCCATGTCTCTCTCGGAGACTCTGCTCCTACCAGCAGGAGGTTCAGCACCGCTCGAAGCCATCGCAAACCACTTGAACTAAGCAGAAGACATTCCAAAACAAACCTGAAGCACACTGTCAAAGATGCTGTCACGTTCAAAAACTAGCTCGATCGCGAGTGAGGTTGCCCCCGTGCTCGAACCCAGTATAATAAGGGGATCGGTCTATTGGCAGGCAAAGTGCGAGAGAGGGGTGATAGCCAACCAGGGCAAGAAAAGAAAATAAGGAAGAATTCAACTCGGATGGTGAGCCTATTAAATTATGGTGAAAAAGGAGAAGGAAAAAATGTTACGAATTTTGACTAACTGTCCATCAACGTTACCAGATCTTATAAGGTCAGCGATTGCAACAAAATTGCACAAAACTGACAAGGATTACTGGGACATTCGGAGACCTGACACCTAGCTCCAACACTTCTCCAAGTATTTCGACTCCGCCATATCGCTGATGCATCATGCATGCTATACGCTATATGCGCTGCGTGCGATTTACTGTATACGCTGTCATTTTCATGCTACACATATCTGGTCGTCTTAGACTGAGTTATTATGTTCGATCAAGTGAAGTATACCGTTAAGAAAAAGCAGTTGTCCTCGTGCCGTGTGCTCTTTCGTTCCTGACACTTACGAGAATCAGAGGCTTCATAACAAAGCATTTCACACACAGCGTCTACAACTGTTTCCTTCAATCAGTGCAGCAGATAATAATACTCACTTATATCGAGGTTTGTTCATCACGTATCCAGCAGTACTCTATATACACACCGTTATACAACTGTTCCCTGCGTTCAGTGGTGCAGTTGATAATACTTACAGTCTTTGGAGGTTTGTTAGACCAGAGAACACACCGTCACTTAAATTCTGGATCTGATTATTGTACAAATATCTACGAACGACACAGCACAAAGACAATGTTTTTCTTTCTTAGTTCCGGGTAGTGCACAAAACACCGAGTCTGGGATATCGTAGTTCTAATCTAAAAGGCCGAATCATGACCTTGTTTTCAGAAATGACCTAGGCTCCTAACCACAACATTATTTATATGCAATTGGGTTAGGTACTGGCCAACCACACAATTCTCTATACCTTGACAAGACATGCAGAATCCCTGGATTTCTCTCAAAATCCCTGAATGGCTCGAAAAGAAGACAAAAGCGGTTTTGCCGCCAAAAAAAAAACGTTCGACAGCATAGACTGCAGGTCTGCTTACAGCACGGTTTGACTCTGCAGTGCGGTTCGATCATTTGGCGCCCGCGCCTGCCAGTGCAGATCTTGCAGGCTAGGCTGGTCAGGTCTTGAAAGTGCCATGCACAGTTCGAAGTGCAAGGGGGCACCGTAATTTTTTGAAGAAGAAAGAACGGGACATTCGAGGTGAATCCATGCAGCGTTCAGGAACATTCTGTATCAGACAAAAATGGGACTTTACTGGGAGTTTGTTTCAAATCAATCAGAACAATATCAAGCCTTCGGTGCTCTATGAAGCGATCCCACCAGATGGTGAAATCCCACAGAATCTTGATCTTCTGGTCCTGCGGAGATGTTGGCGTCTGAAGTATCTCTAGCTTCAGGCACGTTACCCGCGGGTGCACGATGCTCTTGGACCGACCACAGTGGTGGTTGTAGTACTCGTCTTCACAATGCAAGTCGCAACTCCTGTACACGCAGAGGCCAGCCGATAATGGTGCTCCAAGTAATCCCATCCAGCGAGCTTTGAACACTCGCATAGGATATGGGCAACCGACTCGCCTTCCTTTCCACACATTCGAGACAGAGGTCTTCTGCCCTGATGGAAGATTTGGGCTTCTGTACGAAATCCTGCTATTGTACAGCTATATATGCAAACTTTTGATGAAGGAAAACTGCTAATCAATACTGGGAGTTGCTAGTCAATTGTAAACTGTGTAGCAGTGACTGCAATGCAAAAAAATCAAAGTAAATCGATCCCTGATTATGACATCAGACACTGGACTCTACATATATTATGACATCAGACACTGGACTCTACATAATTATAATATTATTATGACATCAAACACTGGACTCTACATATATTTAGACATCAGACATTGGACTCTACATATATGATGACATCAGACACTGGACTCTACGACACAAGAACCAAATACAACACCGTGCGTAAATGATAGTCGAACGGAATTTCGCAACATTAGGACTATCGCTGGATGTCATGGTTCCACACCGGCCATATTGAATGTCACACAGAGTGGATTTAACTACTGCATGAATCTCATCTACGGTTCTTTTCCATGCTACTTGCCATAACCAAAGGATCGCACGACCAAAAGGTTGACACTTGCCAAATAATGTCAACATTCCTTTTCAACAGCGGAAGTATGTTTAGCACACCTTTCAAGGACATTATTAATCAGTTACGAAGGAAACTGTCTGTTAATTATGCCATTTCGAATTACATTGTCAATCCGCTCTACATAATCTGTGGGATTCTTCTTCTCAAAGTTTAATGATGATGCCAGTCCTTCTTCTTTCCCACCGTGGATCTTTCATGTATCGACTTTGCTGTTAGGACAATAAAGTGAGTAATAACTTCATGTTCTCCGTTAAGTCCAAATTTGAAATTGAGTAATAACTTCATGTATTGACAGTACTATTGTATTGTAAGCGCACATACGTTTTCTTGTTCTGGATTGTGCAAGGACATGTGATGTCTGTGGCAACTCTTGATTGTGTCTCACTTCTTATAATAACAACAAATGATGAGGGGGCAGAAGGAGTTTTACAAACCACCAGTTCTGAAGTGGGAAAGGCCTTCGCGTCTATGGCACTGTATTCTTTGTAATGTTGTATCTCGACTCCGGTGTACTGCTGAGGTTTGCTGCATGGCATACGCTATATGCGCTGTGTGCGGTTTTTACTGTAAACACTGTTATGTCATGTTTCATATGCGTATGCTTTTCTGATATACGCTGTCATTTGCATGCTATAAATAGCTGGTGATCTTAGTGTTAGTTTATTATATTCGATCAAGTGAAATATACTGTTGAAGAGAAAATAGTTGTCCTCGTGCCGTGTGCTCGTTCGTTCCTGACTTTTAGAGAATCAGATTGGTTCACAACATTTGGCGACCAAGCCAGGATTGAAGCGTGCATGGGAGAGGCACTAGGTAATTTGGAGGCCATCTTCATCGCCAATGGAATTCGGTTAGGATTGGAAGGCGAGAAGTTGGAGGAACATGTAGAGCAGAGGCTCCGACAGTGCGAGGAACGTGAGGAGCGCAGTGCCAGACGGCAAGAGGAGACGCTCAGCACCGAGTTTGACAAAATCTCAAAGAGATTAAGGAGCGCTTCGCCAAGGCGTATGAGGGTGACGGTGAAGCCGCCAGTGAGAGTGTGATTGGAGGTACAGCGGAAGCTCCCAGTCACAGCGGTGGGCGTAAACCGTTGATGAAAAAACCCTCATATGTTGGAACGCAGCCACTGGAGCGTTATTTCGGCCTGTTTGAGGACATCTGTTCCAAGAACGAGTTCGAAGAAAGCGAATGGCCGCTGCGATTGCGTATCGTGCTAGCGGGTAGCACAGTGGAGAGGATCTGTATTTGCTGCAATAACTACGAGGAAGCAAAGCGAGAGTTGCTTCCCTCGCTCGGAAAGACGTTGCTGACAGGCAAGCAGCGGTCAGAGGAGTCTTTTCAGGAATACGTTGTGCGTGTTTGCCGAGAGGTAGAGGTGTGGACCACACTCGCTATGACGGAAGATAGCGAGGTGGACACCAAGTATAACGCCGATACATAATTATTATAATTATTATTATAGGTAAAATGGCCCCTTTGCTGCAAGCAATGGCAAAGCACGTGATCTAGGATCAATGCGGACCTGGTCGAACGGCAGTGCTACGGGATGTCTCTGCGTCAGGTTCAGGAGCACGGCTGGTCTTACCAGATCGCGCACGGACGACAGGGTGATACTGCCAGGAAGCCAGTGGAACGATCAGTGGCAAGGCTCAGTGCATGGCGATATCGGTCGCAAACACAGAGAAGCAGCTCTAGTCGCTGCCAAAGGAAGGGAGAAAGTCTTTTCAGCAGCGAGAAACACTCTGCTGGACCCGTTTCAAATATGGCCATATGGCAAGGGAATGTCGGTCAGGCTCAGAGTGCCAAAGGAAGCACCATCTGCTAATACATGATGTGTTGGATGGAGCAGGTTACAGCCAGGAGGAACCGACTGAGATAGTAACGGAGAAGAAGGTTGGATCGTGCTGTCTACACTCAACAAGTGTGCGGCTGATGACCGGAGTGGCACGAGGCGAGGGAAGAACTTGAACGGCGAAGGTTCGCGAGTTCCCGGACTCGGGTGCTGAGGCGTCATTTGTGACTTCAGCGGAGCCCTATGACTTCTCTGAGCGCTGAAACCCTTCCTGCCATGATTTCTACTTCTTCACACAAGCGCGATTTTCTTTGGTTTCACTTCGCTGCACTCGAACTTGCCTACACGGGACACACACTTTTACAAAACATATTTTTTCTCAATTAAATGATTTTCAACCTAAGCCTGATTTTCGCAGAAGTCGGGCCATATAATGCCCCGCCACCATAGTAAACACAAATTGAACTACTTCGAATTATGATTCCGGTGTATTTTGGGAACGGAAATGTTCAACATGAAAAGTTGTGTGCTATTGCCTACAAGTTGACGACAACTAGTACTGAATGATAAGTGATTCTTGACTGCCTACGAATGCTTTCCTGACTTTGATGTTACTGTCATTCTCACCTCTGAAGTCGTCCTTCCCAGGTCTTTTCAATTATTCCCTGTGCCTTTGCTTCTCCAAGTTACTCTGTAGGATTTCCTTTCCTAATAGTAATACAAGACTATTCTCTGGTTGCATCAGACACTCAAACTGTTCATATCGATAGTAAAACTAATGCTACTTGTCATGAAGGAGAAGAGAGAGAAAGGCAAGAAACACGTGGGCATGCGCGCAGCTTACAAGATTCGTCACGTGGACAGGAGCAGGAAATACTAAATACAAAATGTAAGAAATAATAAGTAATCATTGGCCTATACTACACAATTCCCCTCCTCTCACCATTCACGACCTCGTGAATAATTGGCAAGCAGGGCAAAAACAATTAAATTTATAATATAGAAAAAAGTAGAAAGGAAAAGAACATTATGGAAACGAGTTAAGAGTAACTCTCCACCACTGTAAAGTGCAACAACTAGGCACAAAACTGACAGAGTACTGAGACATTCGACATCCTGACACCTAGCTTCAACAAATCTCTGTAGCGCTAACCGACAGCCTTCCAACTTGGAATGTTCAAGGTTATGGAAAAACCAAAGACCCTCTTCTATGTCCTTTTCCTTTCTACTTTTATTATTGGCTCAATACCCGAGTTTCATATAGAGAAAAGAAAAAAATTACGGGTATACAATGACCTAACTACAAACTTAGTCACCAAATCTCACAGGAGCAGTGCGGATCCGGCCTGATCGACGCACTAATACTGGAGTAGCAACAGGAGGACGTAGAGGTGACATGACAACAGACGGCGAAATTGGAGGCGTACTCGGCACAGAGTCATCGGCATCATGTGGCACAACAGGAACAAAGTTATTAGCTGACAAACTCACTGGGTCGGGGAGATCATGGACAGACGACGGTAAGGAAACTGGGCACGATGAAGTAACTGGCTTCAAGCGATTGAAGTGAACAGTACGTTCAACTCCATTCAGCAATAACGTGTATGATGTCGGACCATGAACACGCACAATAGTATGTGGACCAGACCAGAAACGATAAAATTTACGGTGCTCGCAGGCACGAATAACTGGATCATGAAGATATACTTGCTGACCGACAACATAAGGCTCACCATGAACGCGACGGTTATAGAATTGTTCTTGA